TCACAAAAACAAAGGGTCCATTGTATATAACTTCTATGTTCTGACAATTACAATTTGTAGTAGTTTTTGTGATTTCATAGCCAGTCTTTGTTCTGACACTAATACGTATTAGGTACTGAAATAGTACTTAGTCACAAACACAGTGACAGGTGAACATTTTCACCTACTTTAGTTACATACTACTGTCCAGAAATATATACATATTGTTTATAGGTCCCAACAATGTTTTGAACATGAGGGAGTATATAATAACAATAATACTAATAATGTTTCCTTGAAGCATGGCGTAAGACGAGTGTCACTCCACTGCTGACAGTGCAGTGATGTTTGATGATCGTGCACTGCCTTGCCTTTGTTTTCACTGTTACACATAAACATGTCTGTCTATTTGTCTATCTATCTGTCTGTCTAGCTCTGTTTATCTATTTCCACTTATCTTTCTGTCTCTCTGTCTGCCTGTCTCTCTTTCTGTCTCAGAGAGAGCGTGGCTCATGGACCAACAGGTATTACACATGATGCAGAGATGCAGAGTAGTCACGTCTGATTCCTGAACAAGAGAAAATGCATATTACTTGCCAGTCATGCTTATTATGCATTAGATCTACTATGTATAACTGTATTTATGTGTACCTTTGAGATAGAGACAGACAGGGTCAGAGAAAGAGATAGACAGAGATAGACAGGAATAGACAGAGGCAGATACAGACAAACAGATGGAGACAGAGGCAGCCAATCAGCCAGCCTGCTGAACACGCATTACATGTTCCAGAATTGTTTCTTTTTAATTAAGGCAGAGTTTATAGAACATTCTGGCAGGATGACACTACCAGTGATACCAAAATTGAAAGGGTGTTGCACACATGTAGTACATGGGTTATTATCAAGATTTTTTATATTTCCTCGACCACTTGTGGCCACATCCACCTCCAAGCCACTAAACTCAGGGTCGACATCACTTTCCTCTTAACCCTTTGACTGTTTACGCCGTATAAATACGTCTTACGTGCCACTGTTTCTGACATATTTATACGCAAAATTTATACGTAATCTAGCGCTTCAACAAGCGGAAAGGCCTGGTAAGCCTACATGAGAGAGAATGGGCCCTCAGTGAGGGTGCACCCTGTGAAAAAAATCGGGGACTCGCGGTGCATTGTGGGAACGCCATCTTGGTAGTCCATTTTCACCATGCCTCGCGGTAAGAAGTTCCTCACTCCTCGGCGGATTGGAGGGCTTTTGTTCCCAAGTGATAGCTCTAACAGCGATGAAAATGTCAGTGACAGTGAATTCCAGGGTTTTGAAGTGAGTGTGACCGAAAAAAGTGCCCAGGATAACGTAATTAGTGATGAAAACCCAGATGACCCACAACCTTCCACCTCTGGTGCTGGGCCGGCTAGTTCACGTTCACGTTCACGTTCACCTGTACCATGACGAAAGAGGAAACTATTTGGTCGTGTACAACACCCAGACGTTAGCAGTGAATGTGATAGTGATAGTGATTTCAAGGTCATTGAAAGCAGTTCTAGTTGTGACAGTGAGGGTGAATATTCCCCAGTGAAGCGGCAGTATGTACGACTAGCATAGGTCTGGTATGTTTCATATGCTGTTCCAAGGGGAAGGAGAAACTCTGGGAGCACATCCCGTGGCTCTACACCATGACCTGATAGTGAAGATAACGATATTGTTACGATGGGTATGAATGATGTGAGTGAGGGAGCAGGCAGTGGTGGTGATAGTGATGGTGGCACGGCCCATGTGGCACCAGCACGGGCCACGCAACTACCCACGCTGCGACTCTGCGAACAACGCCAGCCTCACCCAACCTCACACTCCCACAACCTACACAACCCAACCTGCCCCAAAACCCCAACCACGTTAAAAATATCCAGAACCCATCAGCAGACCTCATCTGGGATTGGCAGGAAGGTGACGAGTTTGTTCCCAGTCCCCCTGACTTTGATGAAACACAAAGTGGGAAAAAAGCTATCATGTCCACTTGGGGAAAAATGCTAGTGAACTGGGGAATGCTTTGGGGTTTTTCTTCGATGAACCCCTGATGACATCATTGTCAGGGAAACCAACACATACTATGAATAACACCATTCAAATACAATTCTCTCACCAAGATCACGCTTACACCAGTGGAAGGAGACAACGTGCAGAGATGTACCTGTTTTTTGCCACAATAATGCTTAGCCACATGTGTATAAGCACACTGTCACCACATACTGGGCAACAGAACGCCTGATTTCAACTCCAGGTTGTTGTGACATTATAGGTTTAATCGTTTCTGATACTGTTTACGTATGTTACACTTTTCAGACAAAACCCGGCCTGACAGAACTGACAGTTATATAAAGATCAGAAATGTGTTTATGTACATGAAACAAAGTGCTGCATGTATTTTTATCCCTTTAGGAAGCTTGTTATTGATGAATCCTTGATTTTATTCAAAGGGAAGACTCTCATTCAAGCAATATATACCAAGCAAGAGGGAAAAGCTTTTGGGATAAAGTTATTTGTACTGTGTGATTGCAGAAGTGGTTTAGGTTGGATATCACTGTTACACTGGCAGTAATACTTTGAGAGATACCATGAATTTTTTGGGTATCTCTGGTGATGTGGTTAGAACAATGATGGAACCATATCTTGTAAGGGGCATATGTTCTTTTCTGATAAACTGGTACACAAGCCCCTTACTCAGTGATTTCTTGTGAGTGAACTTGACAGACGTTGTGGGCACAGTGCGTGGTAATCGTAAACATATGCCAGGTTCAACGCTGGCACTCGCAAAGTGGGGTGCAAGCCTTTGCTGCCAGTGACATCATGGCATTTCGGTGGCATGACAAACGTGATGTCACATTGCTGACATCAGTTCACTGAAACGAAATGGCACACAGTGGCAGGCACAACAGAGAGACCAATGAACCCATTCTAAAGCCTGCAGCTGTCATGGACTACAACATCAATATGCGCTTAGTGGACAAATGTGACATGCAGATTGGGTTTGCTGATTGTGTACGCAAGAGTTGTAAGTGGTATGTAAAACTTTTTTTCCATCTTGTTGATATCTCTATGCTAAATGCTTATAACATATACAAGTTGAAGACCAACACAACACCAAAATATGGTGAATTTTGTTTGTCAGTAATCAGACAAATACAGTGGACCCCCGCTTAACGATCACCTCCCAATGCGACCAATTATGTAAGTGTATTTATGTAAGTGCGTTTGTACGTGTATGTTTGGGGGTCTGAAATGGACTAACCTACTTCACAATATTCCTTATGGGAACAAATTCGGTCAGTACTGGCACCTGAACATACTTCTGGAATGAAAAAATATCGTTAACCGGGGGTCCACTGTAATCGCAAAGTACCAAGGAGCAACACCTGCAATAGACCAGCGCCCACGAAATTACCAACACACGCCATCTCGTTTCAGGCCTGGTGATCACTACCCCATACAACTGCCTCCTACTACTGCCAAGAAAAATGCTCAGAAGAGGTGTTATGTATGTACACATACCACAAAACGCCCACAAACACGCAAGACACTCGTTTTATGTGTGAGGAGTGTCAAGTGCCACTCTGCATATACCCATGTTTCAAAGAGTTCCACAAGCTGCAGCAGTTCTAGGAAAGTGTTCAGTGACTGTACATATGTATATATATATATATTGGAACAATAGTAATAAACATTGTTTTGTATTGTTTGTTTGTGTAAGCAAATTGTATACACAAACTAATAGTGATAAAGTTTGTTCAGTTATTGTGTTGTAAACAATGAGTGTATATTTGAACAATGCACCTTACTTTGGTCTCACAGGCCACATAAGTTACTTGGAAAAGAAAAATACTGGAAAATACAAGAAACTTTTGAATTAGGGTAAATAAAAGAATACCAGGTGGGCGGCAGTCGTCGCTGTTGCCGTACGCACCTCACTTTTTGCCAACTTTGCGGCTCTATATCTCGGTAAGTACTGAAGGCAAAAAATTTTTTTAGGTTTAAAACACTCAGAAAAATAATCCTAACATTTTCATAAGAAAAAAATAATTTGTTTTTTTTTTCCGAATATTTTTGCGACATAGAATGAGTTTCAGAAAGGGGCCTGCGACAGTCAAAGGGTTAAAAGGGGAGTGTTAAATACTACATGACATCAGTGAATACTTGGTATTTGCCGCTCTGTTTGCTCTAGCTGGTGCTCCCACAAGGTACTAAGTGGTCCCAGATTTTTTTAATACTGCACACACCGAGTGTTAAGACCCATTCTATGCTGACCAGGCATCTCAAGCCAATTGTGCCAATTTTGGAGGCAGAAAAAAATAAAACGTAGATCTGCATTTGGAGCACTAGCGGTAAGAATGTAGATATATGTTTGGAGAGTTAAGGAGTTAAGCACACACTGTATAACCTACAAAACTTGTTATGTTACATATACAATATACAGAACTATATGTTTTTTATTTTTTATTAACACATTGGCAGTTTCCCACCAAGGCAGGATGACCCGAAAAAGAGGAAACACTTATCATCATTCACTCCATCACTGTCTTGCCAGAGGTGCACCTACACTACAGTTAAAAACTGCAAAATCAACACCCTTCCTTCAGAGAGAGACATTGTACCTCCTACTTTGCTCACACTCCAACCACATGTCAAGTCATAAAAAACATTTGTCTCCACTCTCCACTGTCTCCACACTCAGGCATGCTTGCTGGAAGTCCAAGCCCCTCACACACAAAACCTCCTTTACCCCCTCCCTCCAACCTTTACTAGGCCGACCCCTACCCTGCCTTCCTTCCACTACAGATTTATACACTCTCCAAGTCATTCTATTTTGTTCCAGCCTCTCTAAATGTCCAAACCACCTCAACAACAGTATGTGTATGCAGCAATATACTATATACAATTTGTATTAATAGGTACCATTAAGGTTCTTATGGCATGTTGATATGAAACTATACACATGTACTCAATACACAAAGAACACTATCACATACCTTTTGCAGTGACTGTGTTGGAATGAGCTTGAATAACCTCAAGAGCTAATATGGGAGAGAGATCACTCAGTGGGCCCCCAAGAAGAGAAAGAAATCTTCTTAGGAACTCTTGTGAAGATTTATCAACCCAGGAACTTCTCTTGGCACTATAGTCACTTACACCTTCATTGTCTTCAAGAGGATGAACCATAACACAGTTGTGCTCACCTGTTATCTTATTAACCACCTGGCTGTTAATAAATATTACATAATATTAGGTAGGTTTAAAATATGGTATATAAATGTGGCAAGTTCATAAATGGGACACAAGTGCAATATTAGGATATTTTCTTGAGGAAATGTTTCACTCATAAGAAACAACTCTGTTTACATCTCCTCCATGCATGCTCACTGGGGTTACCTCTAACGTCTACTTAAGACACTGCTAAGGACAACAGCAACCTTCAGTACAGCCTAGCTAGAAACACCTACCATCAGTAGTACTCAAAATCATGGAAGAAGTAGATGAAGATCTGAAGGAGAATATTTAAAGTGTAGAGCATAAGAGTGGGACACTTTAACCCCTAAACGGTCCAAACATATATATACGTTCTTACGCGTAGCACCCCAAACGTATATATATGTTTTAATTTTCCTGCCTACAAATTTGGCACGATTGGCCTGATATGCCTGGTCAGCATTGAATGGGTCTTAACACTCGGTGTGCACAGTATTAAAAAAATCTGGGACCGCTTGGTACCTTGTGGGAGCACCAGTTAAATTGAGCACCAGCTAGAGCAAACAGTGCGGCAAACACCAAGGATTCACTGATGTAATGTCATATTAACACTTCTCTTTTAAGAGGGAAGTGATGTTAACCCCAAGTTTAGGGTCTGTTGATCTGTCTATCTCTGTCTATCTGTCTCTGTCTGTCTCTATCAGCCTCTGTCTATCTGTCTGTCTCTGTCAATGTGTCTGTCGTTGTCTGTCTGTCTCTGCCTTTGTCTGTCTCTGCCTTCGTCTGTCTCTGTCTATCTCTTTTAATCTGTCTCTGTCTATCTCTTTCAATCTGTCTCTGTCTCACAGGTACACATAAATGCAAGTATATAAAGTATAAATTACCTAGGATAACCCAAAAAAATTCAAAGTGCTATACTCTGCTTGAAGATGTTAGTAAATGTGATGATGCAGTCTTGTGGCTCTCTCTGAGACAGAGAGCTAGACAGATAGGCAGGGAGCCTGACAGACAGACAAATAGACAGACAGACATGTTTGTGTACCAGCAAAAACAAAGCGAGGGCGATGCTTGTCAAATGTCACCTCTAATCTTTTCTTACCTGCTGCACCCTCCCCTCAACCTAGTGTATGCTCATCAAACATCAGCTCTTATCAGATGTTATCTCATCTTATCATGTCACTGTCAGGGGTGGACTTTGTTTTCCATGCTTCAAGGGAACTCATTATTACCTGTTATTATTATTACGTATTTTTCTCCTCCTCCTCCTTCTCCATCTCCATCTCCATCTCCATCTCCATCTCCATCTCCATCTCCATCTCCATCTCCTCCTCCTCCTCCTCCTCCTCCTCCTCCCTCCTTCTTCTTCTTCTCCTCCTCCTCCTCCTCCTCCTCCTTCTCCTCCTCTTCCTCCTTCTTCTTCTTCTCCTCCTCCTCCTTCTCCTTATTATTATATACAGTAGGGCCCCACTTATATGGCGGGTTAGATTCCAGGCTGTCGCCAGAAAGCAGACATCGCCGGAAGGCAGAACGCTATTTTTTTCCATTTATAAATGCATACAAATGCCAGACAACAAGTTTACACTAAATTATATTAGTTAGTAATAGAACTAGGCATTAAAAACACTAAGTAAAATACATTCACAGTACATTCATTACTTAAAGTATTTGTAATCTTAATGTAGGGAGAGAGGTGAGTAGTACTTATTTGTAGAAAGTCAGGTGCAGGTAGCCCAGGTGAAGGTAGCCCTGGCTCCCTGTCTCATACTTATTATATGATATTTAAAACATCCCAGAGCAGTAAAATACACATACAGTACACTCATTATTTACCTTAAAATATATGTAGTCTTAATATAGGAAGAGAGGTGAGTAGTATTTATTTGTAGGAAGTCAGTGTAGGTACCCGGGTAGGGGTAGCCCACCTTGGCTCACCTACCGGTCACCTCAATGTGCCCAGAGCCAATTATTAACATCGACATACCTTTATCACTGAATTTAATAATTTCTAATAACTACCTTTAGATGCCATCAAAATGAAGGGAGAAGTAATGAAAATCCATAGCCGGAAATTGAAAAACAAAAGCGAATGAGGTGGTTTGGGCCAAAACACGTACGTTTGTAAAGAGTTTGTAAAACATTTACCTCAATATTTTTTATATAAAAAATTTATTACCTCACAATACAAATTACTCTTACAGTGTAAAGTTGTACAAGTTAGTTCAGAATAAACAAACAGCAACACACCATTTTTAGAGTGAATGAAGATAATAATAATAATATTATTATTATTATAATAAAAAGCACTAAACCCACAAGGGTCGTGAATTGCTATATACAGTGGACCCCCGGTTAACGATATTTTTTCACTCCATAAGTATGTTCAGGTGCCAGTACTGACCGAATTTATTCCCATAAGGAATATTGTGAAGTAGATTAGTCCATTTCAAACCCCCAAACATACACGTACAAATGCACTTACATAAATACACTTACATAATTGGTCGCATTCGGAGGTAATCGTTATGCGGGGGTCCACTGTATAGAGTAAAGGCATATGAAAAGAATATTTTTCTACAGTTATCCCCCAGTTTGACTAGAGAAAACGTAATTCTTCTGACACTACCTACACAGCTGCTTTGTAAACAAATCTCATATTTACATCAGTTTTTATTCTGTGAGTGTATGTATCGTGTTTATATGCTATGTATCGGGTTTCACATATAATTTTGAGGAAAATAGCATAGATGGATTAATGAAAATGCCTATATTAATGTTAAATAAAACATTTAGTGTGCCCAAGAGTGATTATTATTACACAGTGTTGGCGTTATGAGTAGAGAGAGACTTAGCGATTTTAATGTGTACCTGCACACCAGCACAGTGTGTAAGTATACGTATTTAGGTACAGGTACACATAAGTATAATTATCAGAGTACATATAAAATACGTAGTAACTTTAAAACACTTGAAATTTTGGAAAGTTTCCTGACATAATATACTATTGATGTGGCCACGGAGAATGTAAACAAACGGGGTGGGGGGGGGCCGTATTTGAAAGACCGCTTGCCGTATAGGAAATTTTGGTCATAATTTGACATCGCCGTACTAGCGGAATGCCATAAGCCAAAACGCCGTAAAGCGGGGCCCTACTGTACTTCCACATATCCAAAACATTGCTGGGACCTATAAATACACCTACCATCCGACTTACGACCTGCTCGACTTATGACCACTCGACTTACGACCGTGTTTTTTATGCCAAATTTCTGGGAAATAAACAACTATTTGTGTTGTACATAGTGTTTATCCTAAACCTTACAGTATAAAATACAGTACTAACAACATAAAAAGTAAAGTAAAACATGAAATACCAAAATAAAACAATAAAATAAAGTCATTACAAAAATGTTTTGTTGATATTCAGTAGTAAAGTTCGACTTACGGCCATTTCGACTTACGACCGGTTTCTCGGAACCGAACTCGGTCGTAAGTCAGATGGTAGGTGTACTTTATATATACCTGTATATTCCAAGACAATAGTAAATGACCAAGGCAGGTATAAATGTCCACCTGTCAGTGTGTTTGTGACAATTTGAGTACAATTTCAGTACCTAATACTAGTGTCAGAACAAAGATTGGTTATGGAATGACAAGAACTACTATAAACTGTAATTATCAGAACATAAAAATTATATAAAATAATATGAAAAATAGAAAAAAAGGTATATCGGCAACACTTCTGCAAGCTGCAGGACTCCATGTTGCCGTCACATGAGCATCCAGTGCCAACTTCTCGGCCTCATATCTCTGTAAGTACTGACCCTAATTTTTTTTTATTCTAAAACACTTAAAAAAATGTGCTTTTTTTTTTCTATATAAAAAAACGACTTTTTTTTTTTCAAAATATTTGGGGCGCTACGCGAGTGAACGTATATATATGTTTGCACCATTTAAGGGTTAAATCTGTGACATGGATTTTTTTTTTTAACACACCAGCAAATTCTCACCAAGAAAGAGTGACTCAAAAAAGAGGAAAATCTTTCACTATCATTCAATAATTATCTTGCCAGAAGTTTGCTGTTATCACAGTTCAGTTTCCTAACCCTCCTTCATAGTGCAGGCACTGTACTTGCCACCTTCAGGACTCAAGTCCAGCTAACTGGTTTCCCCTGAATCTTTTCATAAATGTTATCTTGCTCACACTCCAACAATATATTGAGTCATAAAAACCACTTGCCACCACTTGTGAGTGATTTATAAAACCAGACAGCTATAGACAAGGTGGTGTGAATGCGAGAAGAGGAGCTCTTTTATAGCCCCAGGGCAAGGTCTTGCATTCTACAGTAGGGTTTAGCTTATGCTCTTCTCCCTGCTAGTCCCAAAAAATCCTGATTATTTATGACATATAAACACACAAAGAGAAAGAGTAATAACACAAGCAACCTTTCATAATTGAGAACTAGCCTCAGGAACTAATCACATATTGCTGAGAACAACTAATATCTGGATTTAGATAATCATCTGGTCTATCCTCGGTGGCCTGCCAAACAGTTGTCTGGGTACATTACTCTTTCCAATTTTTATTATTGTATATGTAATATCATACCCATGACTAAAACACTATATAAGGAGAGTTACCACATCTGACCTTCAGTTCATAACCTATGTTGGGCTGGGTTGACTGCTGGGATGATCAATATGAATCTTACTGTGGCCAAGCTGATGGTATCCCTAGCTCTAATATGGATGGAGAAGTGCCCATCATAAATCAAATCACAAAATGGGTGGGGCTTGAACCCATGGCAGTCAAGTCCTAAAACTCACAGGCCAGCTGGCCAAGTGGTTAGCACACTGGCCTGTTAGTTTTACGGCTCACCTACCAGGGGTTTGAACCCCACCTATTCTGTGATATGACTGAAATCGTGTTATTACGATTTTCTGAGTCATGGCCATCATAATTACCTTAATAACAAAAAAAGGCACAATACCGTGACTGGTACAATACACAAATAA